GTTCGTAATGTTTCTAAAATGCATGCTATTTCAAGGTTTTAAACCAATGGAATATTTATGCTATATTTCGGTCTTAATGTTGATAAATGAAGGACTAACTCAATGGACACTACAATAGATGATTGTGGAGGGATGAGGAGACAAGAATTGATGCTTTGATCAATATTTTTGAAAAAAAAAATTTTTTGTTAATGTTAACTTTAATTCTTGTAAAGGTCTCTTTTTGTTTATGTTAACTATTTGTCTTGTAAAGGTCTCTTTTTGTTTATGTTAACTATTTATCTTGTAAAGGTTTCTTTTTGTTTATGTTAACTATTTTTCATGTAAAGGTCTCTTTTTGTTTATGTCAACTATTTGTCTTGTAAAGGTCTCTTTCTGTTTATGTTAACTATTTGTCTTGTAAAGGTCTCTTTTTGTTTATGTTAACTATTTGTCTTGTAAGGTCTCTTTTTGTTTATGTTAACTATTTGTTTTGTAAAGGTCTCTTTCTGTTTATGTTAACTATTTGTCTTGTAAGGTCTCTTTTTGTTTATGTTAACTATTTGTCTTGTAAAGGTCTCTTTTTGTTTATATCAACTATTTGTTTTGTAAAGGTCTCTTTCTGTTTATGTTAACTATTTGTCTTGTAAGGTCTCTTTTTGTTTATGTTAGCTATTTGTCTTGTAAAGGTCTCTTTTTGTTTATGTTAACTATTTTTCTTGTAAAGGTCTCTTTTTGTTTATGTTAACTATTTTTCTTGTAAAGGTCTCTTTTTGTTTATGTTAACTATTTGTCTTGTAAAGGTCTCTTTTTGCTATCCACATTCACAACGGAACTCTTAAACACTTTGTCTTATTAGAAATTTCATGAGTTATCATTTTCTGCTTGAAAATTGATTTATTTCAATTGGTTTCTCTAAAAAGTAACTAATGGATGTCTTCTTGAGAAATATATATTAAGATATTAGAATTAATTAGTTTTCAAGCTAGAAAAGACTGCGAAGTCATGATACCAAAGCTACCTATTGGGAAAAAGAACCCCGATCTGATAAGCATGATTTAAAGACAAACAAACATATAATCATAAATGTTATTTGATGCAATTTCAAATTTCAATGAAATAGTTGGCTATTTAGTAAATAAAAAAATGGGTAGAACAACACAAAAATAAAATAAAAAATAAAAATTTATAAAGGTGTGCAAATTTTGAATCAGGAAAGTTCTGGGAATCATTGAGTCCGTGCAATGATATTTTCAAATTTCGGAATTGAATAAAAAATTTTGTTTATAAAAACAATTTTAAACTTGTTGGACGGGGTACCCTGATTAGGTTCTACTCAATTACCTATGGAAGATTCAGATTTTTAAAAAATGCAATCAAACGCTAACAACTAGCTACACCTTTCCAACAAATTATTCATCACTCGCGGAAATTCTCCAATAAATAAAGAAATTACAATATAATTCGCATTCTTGATAAAACACACCTTGTATATCTATTCAGAAGAAAAAATAGTAGCTATAAACACCTTTTTAAAACCGCCCTATGCCCCCCCCCCCCCCTGGGGTACGTCTATTAATGAACAATTAATAATAAATTTAGTTCTAATCACGAAGCATGAAGATAATTTCACATTTATTCCTTCTTAATGTCGCTATAAAAACAAATATAAATCTAAATTATTTAAGTTTTTTGATGAAAAGAATTGAGTTTTTGCTACAATCTTTGATTTTCTAATCCCTATATCTTTGCAATCTGAAGTCGGAGGCCTTTAATATTTCAAAAAATTCATTCTATTAGATGTTTAAAATACCAAAGGTAAACACCACCAGGTTGCAAGGAATTAGAGGTTAGAAATTTTGAATTTTTGGCAAAAACTCAATTCCATGACTTTAATTTTATTTTGTGTCTTTGCTACAATTGTGTTCTTTGAACAATAGTTTTTTTTAGATGTTCCCATATAACCATTTTTATTAAACTAAAAATATTTCCTATTTTCATGGAAAGATTTCCAGACCTTTTCCATTTTTTGCCATAAACCTTCTCTGAGTCGATTTAATAAAGTTTCCTTTTTTTCATTTGGGGTTTACTCACTTGTGTAGATTAATATATAAATATAAAAATTATAAATTGGCAAAATTGTCTCGAATTCAAGATTCACGAAACCCTAGGCTTTGTAACGTTTCATGACGATTAACTGTTTTATATTTCGATGACGTTTATTGAACACAAACAGACAGACAAACAACCAGACAGGCTGAATAAATTTATGTATAAAAACACTGAAATGTATAAGTCTAGGGCTTCAAAAACGTATAAGCTACGACTTACTAAGGTAAAACCCAAGGCCAAGGTTGTTGTGAGACGTTAAAGTTTACCTAGTCTTGAAAATTGATTCAACTTTTTATATGAGTGCACGAGGCACGGCGCGGATTAAACTGAATGAGGAAAATTTAACTAAAATGATTTTCAAGATTCCAATTATCGCAGTCTAATCCAGAATACAGTTAACACATTTCGAACAGTCATTCAGAAAAGAGTAAACGTTCAAAACTTGAATTTAAATATTAAAACGGGCTTACTCATGGAGGAGGGGGGGGGGGTTGTTTGAACCTAGGAAGATACACCCCACAGACTAACCAGACTGAGCATATATTCCTGGATAGGCTAAGCAGGCATAAAGTGTCCCGACACGCAATGCTACAGTTGCATGAAAGGTTTTTTGACTGCCATCTAACGGCCACTTGTTGTATTTTAAACCCATTCAGGGGTTAATTTTTACAACTTTTAAAGAAATACTCCAATTTTTAGCATAAAACGTAACATTTATGAATTTAGTCTATTCTTAAAGATTTTGTATTTCGTATCCAAAGAATCGTAAAATATTCCTGAATACAGATGTCTGCTGATTGGTCGTGTACACTGTACAGTACTTGTTTACAATAGAACCTGCTGTGAAAAATATCGCATATCATAGGTTTCAATTAATCTCTGTTACAAACCCAAAGAAATTGAGTCTTAGTCACAAACTCTGATTTTTAAATCCCTAAATCTTAACAACCCAATGGTGTAGACCTTAGATATTTCAAACTATGACTTCTATTATATCATACAATAAAAGTTTGAAATATCAAAGGTTTGCAAAATTATGATTTGTTGTAAAGACTCAATTCCTTTACCAAGGAAGTGTACTGCAGTTTCTGGGGGGAATGTAAACAAACTCAGTGCAACTCCGGCTAGGTCTGGTTAGTAAAAGAAAAGTTGTCTGAAAATAATAAACTAGCATTCTTTTTCTTTATTTCTACACTAGAGATGGATTGAATAGAGAGGATGAATGAATTAATGAATGATTATTTCATGCTTATAAGCATGAATCTGTGCTATGTATAATATATATACAGTATACAAACTATTTGGTCATAAACCATATGGGAACCATGCACCAATTATTAATACAAAATATACATGTGTAACAAATATATTTTCCATTCAGGGATAACCATATAATAAAGCAAGATTTACGTCTTCTTCGTTTTTTTATTAATTTTGAATTTTTGCTGAGAATTTTATAAATTGTTATTGTAGGTTTTTTGTTCAGTACTTTAGCAGTTAAAAATTACAAAATACTACCGAAATTTTCTTTACAATGGATTGGTATCACCACATATAAATGCATAACATACCGTTCGTTTTACAAAAATTTATTGTTTTTAATAGCATGCACGTTAAAGATTTCTTCTAAAGGTTAATATCTAAATCATCATTAAAATCTGACACATTGAGATTTTATTATATTTAGAAAATATTGTCAAATTATTTCAAATTAATTGAAACTGAGAGGCTATTTTGAGTAAATAAGGTAGTGATGTTTGTTTATTTATCCAGTGTAAATATTGTTTATTTATTTAGGGGGAACATACAGGGTATATTTAAAATTGGAGCAGGAGCTTAAATATGACAAGCGGAAGTGGTTTTGGGGGACTTCTGCTACTTCAGATATACATAGATTCTGTTACTACAGATTTACATAGATTCTGTTACTACAGATTTACATAGATTCTGCTACTTTGGATTTACATAGATTCTGCTACTTCATATTTATAAAGAATATACAACTTCCGATATACATAGATTCTGCTACTTCAGATTTACATAAATTCTGCTACTTCCGATATACATAAATTATACTAATTCCGATAAACATGGATTCTGTTATTTCCGATATTCAAAGAATTCTACTACTTTTACTGTGCAAGGAAAAATGCTACTTTTACCGTACAAAGAATTTGCTGCTACTTTTGTAAAGCATAGAATACTGCTACTCCTTCTGCTAATATTTCTCCTACTGCTACTGCTAATGTTTCTGCTACTACTACTGTTACTGCTACCGCTACTGCTACCGCTACCGCTACTGCTAGCTACGGCTACTGCTACTACTACTTTAACAAGGTATAAATTATTGTTAGAGCTAGGGAGCTAACTGTAGTGTGGCTATGGCAGGTGTACATACTTGATGTTTTCATGGTTTAATTAATTTGTTTGTTTGATCATATTTACTAAACTCAAGGCCTGAGGGTGAATAAACCTTTATTTAAAGTCGAAATGAATTTAATAATATCACACAAAGAAATGATACGCATGTTTAATAAACGTTCTAAAAGCTTGGATATCGTAAATTCGGCACCGTCGATTATTTTGCGATAGTTCCGATTGAAACGTTTTTAGAAACCTCTGAAAACTTTGATACATACTTATATATAAAACTATATTTTGTACTTAATGTCAAAATCGATGTGATATATCAATTTACATGTTCTTATCTATATCTCTCGTATATCAAATATCTCGCTATCTTTCACTCGATCAGTTATCTATCTATAGATCCATATGTTATCTATCTATCTATCATTTCTGTCAAAACATATCACTGTTTCTCGCCAATATTTCTTAATTTAGAGAAGACATGAGGAGAAACATGCAAACTGTTGTGACAGTGTATTTCGAGTAGAAGGGGGGTAAATGGTGAAATCTCTATTATCTACACACCCTGTCCTTTATATTTGTCTGGAATCACATATTTTCCATCTCTTTTCAATGGTTTAGCTTCTCCTTGATATTTTAGAGGAACTTCTCTTTGTTTAGAGGTTTCAAACCAACCTTTGGTTTGGGAGCTTGGGACTTGTCTTGGATTGTTTTCTTCGTACATATTTGGGAATGTGGTTAGTTGGGATCTTGGGGCTGGTGGATAATTTGGTTGAGATCTTGGGGCTGATGGTTGGTAATTTGGTTGGGATTTTGGGGCTGAAGGTTTGTAATTTGGTTGGGATTTTGGGATCTTATCCTGAGTTGGTTGGGAGGATTTTTGATACTTGTTCATGAGGTTGTTCAGTTTTTTTCCTACATCAGGCATATTCTTGTGCTTCAAGCCATCGGGGCCCGGGGAACTACGGCCTTAAAGCAAATTCAAAATAATTTTCTCAGATTTAACCCTATTCTGATTGGGCTTTTTTTTGTCTAATTATGGGGGGGGGAGGAATTCTACCCATGGAGCTATTTTTGCATGCACCATAATAAAACTTTATTTGTCTCTTTGCTTTAACCTGTTCTAAGTAAAAGTGTCAGAATGTCATAATATATATTTTTTCTATTAAACCTTACTTCTAATACCCAACTAGGCTATTATAATATTAAAAAATATAAATACATACTTTTGGTCAAGGATGTAATGCAAGGAAAGTTATTTCAGAAGTGTATGCATCTTTTGTACTGCAGTGTACTGTCTCTGGGCGGTAATGTAAACACAAGACGGATGTTGAAGCCTGACATGGGATCCATATTTCACAAAAAAAATTCAATGAAATATTCTGGTCATAGGAAACTATTATGTGAATTATCAAAATTATCAAATTTAATGCTCTTAACCTCCTCGTATACTAAACGAACACTAATGAATCTATTCTTGTTTATAAATTCCGCCCAGAAAGAACTGGTTTCAAAATGTACGCAGAGTATACGCGACAACGATTAACTTTCCTTGCATTACAACCTTGCTTTTGATCAAAACAGAAATAGCACTGATTTTGAGATATGATTAGAATAGTTTACGATCGAAAAATAAATACAGTTATTATGATACATATTAGAATATAAATCTTAAATAAGAAAACACATTTTTACGCGATAAAAAGTCTCAGTTCGAATTTACGGCTCAAATTAAAATTATAATCCAAAAATAATACTGTTTTAAATCTACAAATTATTTTTCTCGAACATCTATCAAACACAATTTGAGTTTTATTTTAAGAAGGAATATTTAAATAGCTTGCCGCGAACTGAGATTATACAGTTTATACTAAGTTTATGGCGTAATAAAGATAAAAGTATTAAATCAATCGTTTGAGTAATTTTTTAACATTTTTAACATTTTTAACATTTTTAACAGTTTGATTAATTTCTATTTTTTTAACATTCAAAATTACTCAGCATTTATTAAATATTCATATAAATAGAGGTAGAATTATAAAAATCATTTATACTTACTTTCCTTTCCATTCATGACGATCATGTCCCCAAACTCATTTTTCCTAAAAATGAAAAAGTGACATCTGTCGGTTTATTTGTTTTCAACATACGCCAATAGGGTTGTGTATCGTTTTTGGAAAAGATCCTTAAACGACCGTTTTTTTCGTTTTCCGATCGTTTTCAAAAACAATCGTTCCGTTTTCGGAAAAAACGATCGTTTTTGAAAACGACCCCCTCGTTTTGAACTTTTATAAAACGAAAAACGATCGTTTTTCAAAAAAATGAAAACATTAAGATCCCTATACGCTATCAACTTTTTTGTAGAACCTAACCTGACGCTATAGGTAAAGTTTCAGAAAATTGCCTTCTTTTTCGATTTTAAAATTAATTTGGAAATCCACGAATATTAACAGGAAATCCACGAATATTAACAGGAAATCTGTGAATGATTTAGTTTTAAAAGCTAAAATTAATACAAGACAACTAAAAAGAATAGAATAATAACAACACAGATAGAACACTGGATTTAGGGGTTTTTCGGTCACAATAACCTTGAGGTAGAAGCCCTGAGGAGTTCCGCGCACGCTGTCTTGTAATTTAACGCTGCTTGTGCGGAACTGTGGGATTCTACCTCAAGGTTATTGTGAACAAAAAAACCAAAATCTTGAAAAGACGACATCTAGTGTTCTATCTGTGTTGTTATTAATCTATTGCTAAAAGCCTTGAATGTAAAATACCTAATTAGATCCGGTTCGTATATATTCCTGAGTAGTTTGACCAAGATCGAGATAGGTATGAGGATAAGGAGACAAGTCCAGCCTAGTCCAGACCAAACTAATAATAAAACATCTTTGTCTTTGCCACAACCTCAAATTTTCTAATCCCTTTATCTTTGCAACCCAATGTCGTAGACTTAAGATATTTCAAACTATGAATTCTGTTGGATCAAATACTCTAAGTTTGAAATATTAAAGTGTACACCATCAGGTTGCAAAGATTTAGGGATTTGATAATCAAAAGTTTGTGGCAAAAATTAATTCCTTTTCAATAGATTTAACGTTACTCTATTTAATGTCAAGCATTCAGTCATGCATAAAATAACTGAATATAAAATTGTCTCAAATTCTATTTGTTTTAATCCTTTTCCTTGCAACCTTACCTTATGTCCTTAACCTTTGATATTTCAAACAAAAAATTCTGCAAGCTGAAATAACTATAGTTCGAAATATCAAAGGTTACCAAATCAGGCTGTAAATACAGTTATAAAAATAGTTCTAGTTTTATCCAAGTAAACAGTTCATTTAAATGTTGCAACCAATTACAGTCTAATTTGAAAGAAAAAAAAAATTTCAAAGAAATCACAAGAAATCACTAAGTGACAAAAAAATTTGAAACATTCGGATTTTAATACCTGTATTAAAAGGGTCAATAATTCCATCACACAAACTGACTTCCAATTGATGATAAATCAATCCTATAGGCGCCAGACTACCTACGCACCCAGTGAATTTTTCAACTGCAAATCCCAGGTAGACGTCGATCACACCCAGAAGAACATCAATGCTATCAGTAAAGAATTTAAATATTGTGTCAGATCCACCAGCTTCAAAATAAACAAAGATGTTTAGGACCAACTTAATAACTTCCTCAGCATCTCCTTTCAGATTAAAAGTATAGACACCAGAAATTTCATATTTTACAAATGTTTCATTAATACTTGTCTTCAAGCCTTCAATATTGCCTTTTAGCTCCTCATATGCAGTTTTAATTTTGCCAATATCTATTACAGAAATATCTGGAAAATCAGGTGCCTGAAGTTTTAGAATATCATTTATGTGTCCAGCATTTAATAAAGAATCTACATCGTCAATTGGATCCAAAATTGCCGACTTAATATCATCAATTTTATCTTTTTCTTTAAGAACATTTTCAATAGCTGTTGCAATGCTTGAATTAGCGCTGTCTATTACTGAGTTGATATTAAATTCTTCTTTCCAGTTACTTTCCAGAGCTTCAATGTCATAGATATACTTGAGTTGTAGAAGAGAATACACTGGTTTTCCAGCTTGTATACCATTGATAAGATCAACAATCGAGGTATTCAAGGTTACCGTTTCATCGGTAAACTCATCATATATCTTCTTTATTTCGTTGATAAATGCTGGATCAATCAGCCTGATAATATCGGAGTGTTCAGGATCTTTTATAGTTTGACACACAAACCTTGTAGATAATGCTCCGACAGCGAAGAAAACGACCGTGATCAGGAAGAAAAAGAATCCAAGACTAAAAAATACTCCGATGGATGTTCGGAAGATTTTTGCTGAAGTTTGACCCAATTTATTTCCTGGTTTACCACAGCAGCTGACTGTAAGTGCTAAGACCATCACTGCCAATATAATAACTATTATAGATCCAATAGCTTTCATTGCAATGACGAAATAATCAAAATATTTCAAATATTCGCTAATTGTATCTTGAAGGTCTTGCTTGCCCCCAAAAATGTTTCCCATTTCACTAATTCCGTTGATAATCTCGTCCTTCTGTTGATCAAGCTGTATTTTAACCGCGTCTATTTGAGCCTGGATATCACTGAAGTATTCGTTTTCAAAATCCTGAAGAAGATCATCCAAAGACGTTGAAACTTTAGATATTTGATTTGATATATCATCAACGTTGTCCATAACAGTTGAATCAAGGCCATTACCAGCAATTTTAGATAAAGGTTTAATAACATCAGTTAAGAATTTTAGAATAACGTCAAATGATTCGAGGCATACCGGAGGAGCTGATTCACAAGTTGTTTCAATGTTTTTTTTTAAAGTTTCTGTTGATTCTTGAACTGTTGAAACACTCTCTGTGATTTTATTGAACCCTTTAGCAATATTTGCAAACCCATCCGCTGCAGTATTGATAGACGTAAGATTTATTGCAACTTTGATGTCTGCTATTTTGGTTTTGAAATTTTTTATGACATCATCCAGAGATAGATTAAAGTTAGCCATGGCTTCTCCAAAGTTTTGTTCCATCAAATAGGAAATTTCTTCCTTCGTGTTGTTTAAAAACAAGTCTCCATCGTGACTTATATCATCGATTACCTTGAATATTATAGATGGATGTAATTTTATTTTAAAATGAGTTTAAAAATAACCAATAAGTTGTTAATTATTTCAGCTAAAGATTCAAAATTTACAAACTTAAAACCCCTTGAAAAATGTAACATGTTCTTTCTACATTATCAGATGAAATCTAAGACTTTAAAATTTAATAAGATTTTCTATGAGAATGATGGGAGGCTCTAGTTTACACTAGCCGTTTAGAGATTTTAGTGATGAACAGAAAACTCTGAAATAGGAAGACGACTTTATAGCAATACTTAAGTGAATTTGATGTTGTTACAAAGCAAATCGATACAAGAGACACTTATTAAATCACTTGTTAAATAAATTGGTCTGTTTACTCTACAAAATTGCTGTGTCCCATGGCTCATTGCACTATTTAAAATAAAAATTTAGTCTAAAAGTCGTCTTCCTATTCTAGAGTTTTCTGGTTATTATTGTAGATATGAAAAATGTCCAAGCTCGTCATTATTGGTCACAAATTGGGCCACCCTGAGAATTCTCAAAACCTCTCCATCAGCGAAAAATCTATTTTTTTATTAAGACCTCTCAGTTTTTTTAGAATTATTAAGTAATAATTGAAAGGTAAGAATTCGCTTAACTTATATTGCCAAACATAGGTCTTATTTGGCATAGCTTAACACTTTGCTTTACAGCTTACACTACATTGTGAAATTTAAAGAAATTTATGCTGGCGGCATCAAGGGATTTTTTTAATTATTTCCCCAACCATGAATCCATATGAAAGATATTTCTGTGCTGAGTGCGATTTTTTGGCTTATTATTTAAGGAAAAAATACAAAGTTTTAAATGCAGGAAAAAGTCTATCAAATTTTAAACTTGTGTGTGTTATTTTCAATGAATATTGATGGGACATTAATCCAGTTCGAAAAGCTAGAAAAACGAGAATATCTTCCTCCTAATGGATCAAATTCAAGTGTGTAAGGGTACCATTGTGAATTGACAATGCCCCTCTTTAAAGGGAGTGTTCGCAAATAATGAAAGGGGGTATAGGCTTAATGCGATAAAAAAGCGCTTTTGATCGCTACTAATCTTACTTCTATCTGTTGCGTCTATAAGGAGAAAATTGTTAAAAAGGACAAATACCGAAAAAAGTAGTGTCCATACAAATTCAGAAAGATGCAACATACGACTTAGACCGTAAAAAAAATCTATTAAATTTCAAACAAATCATTCAGATATTACAACCTATAGTCATCGATTATCTTTCGCCACATTTGTTTATAGTTGATTTTTCATAATATGTTTTAATTGTTATGTTCTGAGAGTTACTTATTAAAACATTTATTCCTGTTTCGAGGATTTTTGGTAATGAAAACGACATTTCAATATTTTCCAGGAATGTTCGAAAATAAGTTGTAAGCTAAATATTATTTTAAAAAATAAAATCAAAACATATTACGAAAAATCAACTATATACAAATGTGGCGAAAGATAATCGATGACTATAGGTTGTAATATCTTAATGATTTGTTTGAAATTAAATAGATTTATTTACGATCTAAGACGTATGTTGCATCTTTCTGAATTTGTATGGACACTACGTTCTTCGGTATTAGTCGTTTTTAACAATTTTCTCCTTATAAACGCAACAGCTAGAAGTAAGATTAGTAGCGATCAAAAGCGCTTTTTTATCGCATTAAGCCTATACCCCCTTTCATTTTTCGCGAACACTCCCTTTAAATGGAAGGACACAAAAATCCACAAGAAAAGTCTCTTTAAGTCTTAAACATGGATTTGTTTACCTGTGGCAAAGTTGTTATTCCTTGTTGAGTTCCACTGTTCCCAACAAAAAACCAAATACAACCAAGAGATGCAATCAGAAGACAGCAAAACAAGAAAAATCCATAAATAGCCGCAGTAACTCCACTTGCCTATATAACAGTATGTTTTATTTTATACAAACACTATCATCTTATCAGGTTAAATTTGCTGCATAAAACCTCCTGGGTGGACTTTACACTGGGTAGCCCAGACTGGAGAGTACGACTGAATTTCAATACAGCACATTTTGTACCGGATCGGATCTTGCAACTTTTATAGTGGTGTGAATACTTGCATTAAAATGAGTAAAGCATTAGGCTTAACCCTTTCACGGCTGGGGAGAGGGGGTGTTTTCCACCCCCTGTGTTTTTTTTAAATAGCTTAAAAACGGCTTACATTAAAACGCTTAAACTTCTTCACTTTTTCAATATCATAGTTGTGAACAAATTTTGCTAAAACAATTTGTTTTATGCATATGGTAAGGTGGAGGACAGTCAAACGACGGGTCGGTGTTTAAATAAAATCAGAAATGCTTCATCACTTTTTAATTAATTAAGCTACAGGACTTAAAATAATTATTTTTGAAAATTTTTTGACGTAAAAATCCCCTTTCACCCTAACCATTAAAGTTAGAGGTCTAATTCTTTTTAATGAGCAGGCATTGAAAAGTTGGACTCAGGAAATGCATCACACTCCCTTATCTCAACTCTAAGGGCAAAATCATGGGGGGGGGGGTGGAAAACACCCCTCCAGCCTAAATTAGACAAATATAGCCCAGCCAGGATAGGGTTAAGAATACGGGTATATGAAAGCTGTTACAATTTTTCAGTTAATTTACTCTTAAAATAGACACTAGGAATGAGTCATTATTTGGCAAAATAAAGTCATGCAAAATATAGAGAGAAAAAACAGTATAATATTAAGGTTTTTTTTAATGTAAAGTTATATGTTGGATTCCAAATTTGCACTTTTTCAAATAAGATTTCTCCCTATTAAGTAAAAAAAAAGCTAACTATTTATCCTGAAAATTATTAAATAGGAATTTTAATATGTTTTAGTACCGAGTTCTACTCTTCTAAAGTTATTTATTTTCTAAATAATGACGATTTGAAAACCACTTCAAAACAAAAAACCCCTGAAGCTAGGTTTTAAGCTTAAGCACTCAGTATAGCTTTTCATGTAAACAACTCACAAACCCAAATCAACAATTGACAAAAAATCCAGCTAATAATAATCACCCCTGCATGTACCTTTTTCGAGGTCTGTGGCCTGGATGAACAGCAGCAGCAGCACAAGTATATGAGGGCAATAATAGGTATTATGATAGTAATGGCCAGGCCAAATCCAAGGGCTACAATAATCCTAAAAACATTAAAGGAAATGTAGAGGCAATTTTATAGTAACCCTTCATTTATATAGTGGCATGTCGAATTCACAAAGGTACCCTATTACCTATTTTGCCATTTACAGGGTGTCCCAATAAACATGGTTATAAAAAAATAAACAAACAAATTCTTAACTCTAGCAGACAAAACAACCGCGGGTCAGCTTTCCTAGCAGGCATCATCATGCTAAATCAAAAACTCATTTACAAAAACGAAATCAAAATCGTCACTGAACTTTCATGGAAAATTTTTTCAAATTTTAAAGAAAAGTTTGAATATTTTTAAAAAATCAAGCAGCTTTTTTAAACAATACAAATGACTTTTAGGCTTTTTTATATTGCCTGCTTTTAGAAAAGGCAACATTTTTTAATTGTACAGTAGGAACCAGAAAAGAGTGCAATTATTATGGTCTATTGGTTTCTTCTGATTATAAAATGTCGCTATAAGGATTTTTAATTTGTAACTATCATGACTTTTTAAAAATGCTCTGCGCATTTTTAGAGATGAACCAGTTACAACACTTGCCACATAGATCGTGTCAGCATATCCTTTTTCCATAAAATGTGCAAGGTCGATTTTACACTAGGTAGTATAGACTAGTCGGTACGAGTGAGTTTATTTACTGTACAACACTAAACCGGAAAAAGTAAAACAATGAACAAAGATGAGATTCAATCCTCAATTTTCTGGTTCACATTTCAGTAAGAAATAGTCTATATATAACACTCTTCACTCTTGTATATGTGTTAGGTATAGCCTAAAGCTGGTTTAAAAATTTCACGAACAACATCGGGCAGCTAGTACCTGATATTAACATCAAGCACATCAGATATGTTTTCTAGGATCACATCAGGGGGGTTTATCAAGCTATAGTACCTGGTATTAACATCAAGCACATCAGATATGTTGTCTAGGATCACATCAGGGAGGTTCATTAACATCAAGCACATCAGATATGTTTTCTAGGATCACATGAGGGAGAGTCATCAAGCTATAGTACCTGGTATTAACATCAAGCACATCAGATATGTTGTCTAGGATCACATCAGGGAGGTTCATTAAGCTATAGTACCTGGTATTAACATCAAGCACATCAGATATGTTTTCTAGGATCACATGAGGGAGAGTCATCAAGCTATAGTACCTGGTATTAACATCAAGCACATCAGATATGTTGTCTAGGATCACATCAGGGAGGTTCACCAAGCTATAGTACCTGGTATTAACATCAAGCACCTCAGATATGTTGTCTAGGATCACATCAGGGAGAGTCATCAAGCTAGTACCTGGTATTAACATCAAGCACATCAGATATGTTGTCTAGGATCACATCAGGGAGAGTCATCAAGCTAGTACCTGGTATTAACATCAAGCACATTAGATATGTTGTTCAGGATTAGATCAGGGAGAGTCATCAAGCTATAGTACCTGGTATTAACATAAAGCACATCAGATATGTTGTCTAGGATCACATCAGGGAGAGTCATCAAGCTATAGTACCCGGTATTAACATCAAGCACATCAGATATGTTGTCTAGGATCACATCAGGGAGAGTCATCAGCTATATTACCTGGTATTAACATCAAGCACATCAGATATGTTGTCTAGGATCAGATCAGGGAGAGTCATCAAGCTATAGTACCTGGTATTAACATCAAGCACATCAGATATGTTGTCTAGGATCACATCAGGTAGGGTCATCAAGGCTTCCAGATTGTCAAAACGTCCATCATAAAACTCCTGTGGATTTTGTTGTTAATAATTTTGTAGACGAAAAAAAACGATAGTTTTTCATTTCGTTTTTGATTTTTCAAAACCAACGAACCTTCATTAACGGTCGTTACCGATCTTTAACGATCGTTAACAAACAAAAACGATTTATCCTTGTGAACCAAACAACGAACAAAAAATAAAGCTATACTACTTCCTTTTTTAATTTAATAAAAATTTTTTTTATAATTGATCGTTCCTTTTCCGGGTTTTCTAAGTCGTGAACGAAACGATCATTTCGTTTTCCCTCCCTACCTGTGGAAGAAGATCTCCTGAAATCACAGGATTAAGAAATATGTTGGTGATATCTGTAAGAACCCCATTTCCAGAATTAGGATCAGAACTCGAATTCAACACATAACTGAAACAATAAAATATCAAAAATCGTTTTATGTTCTAAATAATTTTTCGCGAACACTCCCTTTAAAGCGGAAGACGACCCTCCTAGAGATAAGCCACCTACGTCACTCAAAATTCAAGTATGAATACTATACATAAATAAATAACTCAATAGAAACATAAATGGTGACACATCATGAGACGAGCGCAGACTTACTATACGTCGTTTTTATACATCAGGGTTCCTTCCAGCTAATATTTTGTTTTGTTATTGAGCTTCCTATGACGTGTTATCACATACAATATGAGCTATATATACAGCATAAGCTTCTTGGCGTGATATAAAATTACAATATAAGCTTTCTGGCATTTTATAAATACAATGTATCCTTCTTGTCATGTTATCAAATACAATATAAGCTTTCTGGCATTTTATAAATACAATGTATCCTTCTTGTCGTGTTATCAAATACAATATAAGCTTTCTGGGATTTTATAAATACAATGTATCCTTCATGTCGTGTTATCAAATACAATATAAGCTCTCCCGAAGTGTTATTTATAATATGCAATATAAGCTTTCAAAATGTAATAGTTTCTGACGTGTTATTTATTGTACAGAGTGAGACTGTTATAACTGTATATTGAATTTAGTGTTCTTTCACAATTGTAATCTTTTGATGATTTCTGAAATGAGCTCACTATGTTTTTGACAATATGTAAAAGCTCATATTGTATTTGAAAACAACTTATTTCGCATATTTAAGGTGTACACTTTGATCCAAACGCACTTACAAATGCATACAAATAAATAAATTGCCTTGTGTCCAGGTCAGGTGGAGTAAACTGTGCAAAATAAGAACAGTTTGCCATATTTCTCACAACTGATTAGAAATATCATTTTCTCGTAGAAAGGAAAGATAAGGACTTTATTATCCAGATAAACAAAAATAGCAAAAATAAACGAATATTTTTCTAAATCTAAGTTTTCAAGTAAGACAATTACTATTAGTTCTTTGAGCTTTTATATATTTGTATCAAAAGGTTTTTATGTATTTTTTAAAGATCAAATTCTGCATACGCGGATTAATGCATGAGAGTTAAGTTCTTGATGACTAAGTTAAAGATAAGGTTTGAACATGGAGATTAACCAATCTTAAAAAGTCATAAGTTTAGAGTTAGTTTGAGAACTTTGAGGTTAAGCTTTAAAAAGAGGATTATTAAATAGCTTTTGCGCATCAATGCGCAAAAACATCGAAATTTCGTGCAATTTTTACTCGAAACGTAAGCAAATATTTGCGCAATTTTTGCACGATTTTCGTGCTAAAAATTTCGACTGGAAACCCTATTGGTAAGGTTAGTTTTTTATTGTTTGAGTATAATGCACATTTTTTTTCGCGCTTTGCCTCCCCTGGAATTGTTTTGTTTAAAAAGACAATTAATACCATAAAAATGCACCAAAAAGACTACAATTTTGGGTGTTACTAACCTAATATCTAAAAATTTTTCCTTTGCTCGAAAAATTAACTTTAACTTTTTAACTTTATAAATTAATCACTTAACTTCATCACAGCTAACTAAATCAAAAATCACAGCATCATTAGAGAATTATATTTTCACCTAATAAATGAAATTTCTTCAGAAATTTTTAGATAGAATTTACTCCATCTGCATATTCTCCAACTGTTTTAAGCTTAAATTTTCCTGGGATTTGCTTGCACAAACATTTCAATGATTTTCTCAGTAGAGAGCTCTCTGACAGCCTTGTAGGGTGTAAGGCCATAAGTGCAAGATCGTAAGACGACAAACATTTATCTAATTTAGTTAAAGTGTCTTCAGATTTTGTATTAACAGTGAATTTAGACAAATCATTGTGTCCTTTTAATTTTGTATTTTCCAGGGGGGGGTAAAAGGACTACTGCCCCCCTTTGACCCTGCCACCCAAATGTATGTTTCCGCCTGCATTTAAACCTATTCTGCAACTTTTCAGTTCAGTTCAGTTCAGGAATATTTTAAGGCCGTTTAAAACCAAACTATTCAAAATTGGTTTAATTGTGAGTTCTAAAATTTATGTTATCGTTTTTTTACGACTGAACCGACGGGGAGGGGGGGGGGTTGTTGGGTGTGACCCCCCACAGTTCTCGATAATCATCAATAAACATCTTTGGTATACATACAACACATTATAGCCCGTATATTTAGTAAATAAAATCCAGGTTTAAACTTGAAGAAAGAAAGATATTTAAATTTTAAAAGTTGTAAAAAATATTCTTCCGATTCTTCGCGTGTAGAACTGAACAACGCGCCCCATGAATAAAAGCAAACTAAATTATTATTATCACTGAGCCCCCTGATGTTTGCTATCAACGATAGTGCGCACTGTGCTATGCGCGCTTAGAATTAAATAAATATATCAACCTAGAGATAGGCATAGTTTTTGTAAACGACGCCATCGTTCAGAAAAATTAACGACCGATGAACGAACAAATTGGATTATTCAGAGAAATAAAAAACGATAGGTTTTTTCTCCAAAACGAACGGTAAAACCAAAATCGAACTTTAAAAAATAGTATCGATCGTTCGCAAGCTCGTTAACGAATAATTCCTAAACCTTTCGTTTATACACTTGATCATTCATAAACTATTGTAAAATTATTTAAAATTTTTTTTTAGAAAACCAGTCTAACCTGACCCGAACTAACCTAACCTTTTGCTGATTGATTTTAAGGAATGAACGGTTTTACGTTCAGTGGCGATTTTAAGGAAAGAACTATTTTACTGAACGAGCAATTTTATGAAAAAAATGTCAGAGCAAAAAAGAAGAATATAAATAAAAATGCATTCAGAAAACAAACGAATTCAAATTTTTATTAACGACTGAAAAAAAACTTTCTTTAATTTTATTTTGTGACAAAGCTCATGACGAAAACAGATTTTTTTTGGTAAGCATATGCTGCTCAGAAACTTTGTAATTGTCTTTGATCGTTTAATTACTGACAGAGGCGTATTCGGGGTGGCTTTAAAGGTCTCTAGCTCTCAATTAATTCCTGAATATGTCCCATTACTGAGTACCATATGTACCATTACTGACCTAACCTTTTCAACATGGAAAAATGTATTTAGATTTGAAAATTGGGCCTCACATTGTATTTTAAACGAAATGAAGAGAAAAAAATGTTATCAAACCGTTTTGAAATTATCTGACTAGCTATTTTTGTTACTAAAAATTCTGTTTTCCACCCCTCTTATTAAGATTTTGCTGGTTAAAAGACTAAAAATCAGACTGCATGTGACTATGATGATTGGCTAAAATATTTTTTTTTTGTCTATAGGAGTACTTGATAGTCAAAAACAGCAGTGTCGTTCTTCTATTTTGGTTCTAGACATCTATCTGCCACTTTCCTGCCATCTAAGATACAGTTTGTTTGGAAAAACGTACTTTCGAAAAGTATAATATATTATAAATTCTTTTAAAATAACAAAGAAGCAATCAATAGTATTGGATTCTCACACCTCTCCCCCTCCATTCCCATCTTTAATTCCGTCCTGTAGAATTAAGTAGTGTGTATGAGTTATTGGATTATTACTCTATCCCAGGCTATAAAGTTGACGCATTAGAACTAATTAACCAAACTGCAGATATAACCGATGACACTTTAATTACGCCGATCTGTTAACATTGACGCACGGAACAATATGTAATTATTGGTTTCACCCCCTCCCCCTTCCCTCTCCCGTCCCCCCTCTCCTCCTCATTCATTCATTAACCTATCAGGTTCATCCATATTTGACATCTTATCTTTTAAATTGTGATAGAAGAAAAAGAGTTGTTGACTAATAAAGTTGTTGAAAAAGTTGAGCGAAAGATTTGTTGAGTGATAAAGTTATCAAGTAAAAGAGTGATAGAGTTGTTGATTGATAAAGTTATTAAGTAAAAGAGTGATAGAGTTGTTGAGTGATAAATTGTTGCATGTTGTTGTATTGTAACCCCAATTAGAATCTCTAAACCCGTGAACAAATTTGACCCATATCCTTCAAGTAGAACACCGAGACTGAGATCACCCAAGAGAAAATCTCGTACATGTTTACCGTCAGCAGTCAAGGACACAAGAAAAATGCCCTTCATTCCATAACTTAAACCAGTTCTGAATAAGGTATGGGCAAAGAGACCTCCAGGACCTCCAGGGACGGCGTCCAAGAAGTGAGAGCAGGACCTCAATCAGGACCAGAGCAGCATCTCTTGAAAAAATGCACAGGACAGGGAGTATACAAATCAATCAATCAATAATTAGTAAATCAGGATACAGAGTTCGGAGAGTAGGTCAGTAAGTAGACCAAGTAGTAGCGCAGGAAGTAGAGAAAGATGGGAGCGTAGTGAATGGACCGACAATGAAGACGACAATGACAATGTAAAGAATATAATAGGGGAAATCAATTTCATTGGGGGAAAAAATTTCTTAATCGCTAAAGTCAAAAATACCGTAACGCTCCAACCAAGGATGGCAGAATGGATACCAATCAATTGCATTTTAAATGTAAAAAACAACACTGATTATTTTTTATATCCGGTAGTATTCAATTTTATTCTTGAATGCAATCTAATAATATCCAAGTTTTCACCACAGGCTAGAGCATTACGTTCTCCAGCTATTTACATTTAAAATGCTAAATATGTCTTTGTTCAGGTCAGAAAGGGAGACAGCATAGCTCAGCTGGTCAACCTGGAGATCATTGATGTACATATCATTTTCATTAAATTGTTTTTTTAGTTAGAAATTGAGAAAGATACCTGAGAATACAGACTAAGCCGTATCCAGATTGATATTGACTATGTAAACCTTGAGTTGTGCCTGGATTGATACGGGTCTAAAAGTATTTATTGGAGTAGGGCATTTACAACAAAGTTATTAAGCAAAAAATGTGTTGAGTGATAAAGTTATTAGATTATAGAATTGTTTACTACATTATTAGTTTCAATATTTTAACTTTATTGAAAAATATGAAATAAAAGAGAAGAATTAAATTATAGAAACCAAAAGAAAGACAAAAGAAGCAACAGCCTTAAAATTTACAAACAGAATTCCAGGCGCTTCGTCCCCCTCCACCTAGTGTTCTTCTTGACATTAGAAACAAACAAGACAAATTTATATTATCTATCTATCTATCTATCTATCTATCTATCTATCTATCTATCTATCTATCTATCTATCTATCTATCTATCTATCTATCTACCTATCTATCTTTTTTTCTGAAGAAAATATAATAAAAAAGTGAAACAAGCTGTTTTATCAAGATTTCCATTTGATAAATCCTGGAACCTGGGGTCATTTCATTTAACATACAACATTTTGAACCTGATCGGTTCAGCCGTGTTTACGTTTATAACCAAATAAATAAATATTTGATCGGCCTGATTCTAAGTTAACAATTTGAATATTTAGACAAATAAAAAAATAAGCCAAGAAGTTTAATATATTTTTTTAAAAAGTATAATTTAAAAAACCTGGATTTTGTTTTTGATTGAAAATGATAAGGCTGTTATATGTTTCAGTTACAATGAAAAGATTATTGTTTAAAAGCTTCTAAATAAATAAATAATCTTTTTTTTTTCGTAAAACTGTTTTAAAAAATTTATATTTATATATTTGGTATATTCCCTAGGTGCATTTATCAAAACAACCCCCGGTATGTAATAAATACCTCCCCTCCCTTACCTCCCCTCCCTTCCCTTTTCATGTTATTTTCCTATCCCCCCTCTCACTGTGGTATAATTTCCCCCTTTGTGGCCCCCCTTTCCCCCCTGTGGTTAAAGCCTCTACACTATTGCATTAAGAGGTGTAATCATTAGTTCGCGTGCAGACACTCATTTAGTTAAAGCATTATACCTCCTGGTATA